TAAGGTACTTCCCTATTCCATTTTCAGAAACAGATAGATCAACCAGACAGAAAATCAACAAGGAAATGTTAGACTTAGTCACACTTTAGACCAAAAGGGCCTAATAGATATACAGTTTATCCAAAAGTGGCAGAATATACATTCTTTTCAAGTGCATAAGAAACATTCCCTAGGATAGATTATATGATAGCACATAAAACAAGTCTTAGTAACTTTAAGAAGATTCAAATCATACCAAGTATCTTTTCAGATCACAATAACATGAAACTAGAAATCAACAAGAGGAAAGCTGGAAAATTTACAAACATGTGGAAACTCAACAACACACTCCTGCAACCAATGGGTCAAAGAAGAAATCAAAAGTCAAATTAAAAAAAAATCTTGAAACAATGGAAATGGAAACACAATGCACCAAAACCTATGGGATTTTGTAAAAGCAGTTCTTAGAAGTTTACAGCAGTAAGGGCATATATGAAGATTAAAAAAGATCTCAAATAATCAACCTCACTTTACACCTCAAGGAACTAGAAAAAGAGGAACAAAATAAGCCCAAAGTTAGCAGAAGGAAAGAAATAACAGGATCAGAGAAGGAATTAAAAAAAATAGAAACAGAAAAATAATAGAAAAGATCAAAACTAAGAGCTGTTTTTTGAAAAAATAAACAAAATTGATATTTTCAGCAAGACTAACTTAAAAAAAGAGAAGACAACTAAAATCAGAAATTAAAGTTGATAATGCAGAAATATATAGGATCATAAGAGACTACTATGAAAAATTATAATCCAAAAAGTGGTACAACCTAGAAGTAATGGGTAAATTTCAAGAAACATAAAATCTAGCAAGAGTGAATTATGAAGAAATCAGAAATCTGAACAGATCAGTAACAAGTAAGAAGACTGAGTCAGTAATCAAAAAACTCCCAACACAGAAAAGGTTAGAACCAGATGGTTTCACTGGAGAATTCTATCAAATATTTTAAGAATTAATGCCAGTGCTACTCAAACTCTTTCAAAAAAACTGAAGAGGTTGGAACATTCCTAAACTCATTTTTAGAGGCCAGCATTATACTGATACCAAAAGCAGAAGAGAACACTGCAAGAAAAGAAAACTACAGTACAATATACCTAATGAATATAGACGTAAAAATTCTCAACAAAATATTAGAAAACTGAATTCAATAATACACTAAAAGGGTCACATACCATGATCAAGTGGAATTTATCTCTTGGATGTAAGGCTGATTCAACATAAGCAAATCAATAAATGCCATACTGCATTAATAGAAAGAGACAAAAACATCATATGACCATCTCAATAGATGCAAGAAAAGGATTTGAAAAGTTCAACATCCTTCCATGATTAAAGACCCTCAACAAACTAGGTATAAAAGAAATATACCTCAACATAATAAAGGCCTACACAAAAAAAATCCCACAGCTAAGATCATACTAAACAATGAAAGGTTGAAAGTTTTTCCTCTAAGATCAGGGACAAGACAAGGGACAAGGAAGCCCACCTCTCATCACTCTTATTCAAAATAGTACTGGAAGTCCTAGCTAGATCCATCAGGCAGGATAAGAAAATAGAAGTTGTCCAAATCAGAAGGGAAGAAGTAAATTGTCTCTATTTGATGACATGTCTCTATAAAATGACATGATGCTATATATCTAGGAAAACCTAAAGACTCAATGAAAAATCTGTTGGAACTAGCCAACAAATTTGGTAGTTACAGGGTATGAGATTAACATACAGAAATCAGTTTTGTTTCTATGCACTAACAGTGAAATGTCTTAAAAAGAAATAAAGAAAACAATCCCATTCCCAATAGCATCAAAAACAATAAAATACATCGGAATAAATTTAACCAAGGAAGTAACAGATCTGCACAATGACAACAATCACACATTGATGAAAAAAAAAACTGAAGAAGACAAGTTGAAAGCTACCCAATATTCATAGGTTGGAAAAATAAATATTGTTTAAATATCCTTACTACCCAAAGCCATCTATTGATTCAATGCAATCACTATCAAAATTCCAATGTCATTTTTCCCAGAAATAGAAAAAAAATGCTAAAATTTGTGTAGAACCACAAAAGACCTTCAAAACAGCCAAAGCAATCCTGAGAATGAAGAACAAAGCTGAAGGCATCACACTCCTGATTTCAAACTATACCACAAAACTATAGTAATCAAAACAATGCAGTATTGACATAAAAATAGACACACAGGCCAAAGGAAGAGAATAAGAATAGAGAACCCAGAAATAAATTTCCAAATATAGACAATTAACATTTGACAAGGGAACCAAGAATAATCAATGGAAAGAATAGCCTTTTCAATAAATGCTTTTGGAAAAACTGGATAATTATATGCAAGAAAATAAAATTGGACTACTATCTTATACCACTCAAAAAAAAAATCAACTCAAAATGGATTAAAGACTTAAATATAAGACCTTAAATTATAAAACTTTCAATGAAAAAAGGGGGAAAGCTTCTAGACATATGTATTGCCACTGATCTTTCTGGATCATGACATTAAAGCCCAAGCTACAAGGGCAAAAATCAACAAGTGAGACTACATCAAACTAAAAACGTTCTGCACAGCAAAAGACATAATCAACAAAATGAAACAGCAACCTACTGAATAGGAATGAATTTCTAGTGAATGGGAGAAAATATTTTCAAATCCAACATATCCAATAAAGGGTTAATATAAAAAAATATATTAATAACTCATACAACTCAATAGCAAAAATAAGACAATTTGATTTTAAAAAATGGGCAGATGATGTGAATAGACAGTTTTCCAAAGACACACAGATGGTCATCAGGCACATGAAAAGATCCTCAGCATCACTAATCATCAGGGAAATGCAAATCAGAACTACAATTAGATATCACTTCACACTTCTCATAATGGTTATTATCAAAAAGATGACAAATAACAAGTGTTGGTGAAGATGTGGAGAAAGCGGAACCCTCATGTATTATTAGAGGGAATGTAAATTGGTACAACCATTATGGACAATAGTATGGAGATTACTCAAAAAATTAAAAATAGGAAAACCATACTATCCAGCAATTTCACTTCCAGGTATATATCCAAAGAAAATAATAACAGGATGTTGAAGAGAAATCTGTACTCCTGTGTTCATTACTGCATCGTTTACAATAGTCAAGATATAGAAACAACTTAAGTGTCTGTCAATGAATGAATGGATAAATAGGATGTGAGATAGATGGATAGGTGGATACATAGATTGGATGGATGGATGGATGGATGGATGGATGGAAAATCTAAAAAAGCTGAACTCATAGAAGCAGAGGAGCGTGGTAGTTACCAAGGACTAGGAGGTGGAGGGATTGGGGAGATGTTGGTCAAAGGGTACAAACTTGCAGGAAAAAAATTAAAAGAAAAATACTAGTAAAAATTATTACTTGGTAAAGTGGGGAAGAATTCACTTTGTTATACATTTGGCACTTTCATAAGTCATGGTTTTTCTACCATGTTGTAGATATTATGTTAAATATTTTGATGAAACACTGAAAAAGAACATACTATACATAAACATGTAATGTACTTGTTCTATATTTTAGCAACTTTTTGTCACATAAAAAGCCAATCGTGCATTACTAATGTATGGCTTACAAGCCATAAGCAATTAGTGAGTGAATCAACAAATCATTTCTAAGTATGACTTACTACTTGAAAAAGAATGTCTATGGCATTAGAACACAAAAATGTTCCTGATGACAACCACCACTATCATACCCAAAATCCTTAACTCTGATTTTTGTTTTATTATTGTGAGTACTTTATTTGTTCCTTGAACTAATAACCTCTGTGGAGAAAAAACTAATAACCACAAGAAGAAGCACTACTACTGACAGCAAGACAGTTGTCCACCACCACTGCCTGCAATTGGTAGAGAATTGAATTAAAGGCAGGCAAAGGAGTGGAAAAGCTTCATGGAAGCAAAAGAGGTAAGGTCCCTCCTGATGGGACATTGGAGGCATGGGGAAGCTGGTGGCAGGCTGAAAAGAGATCTCCCTCAAACATCACAAATCTGTAAATTAATATTGATAACAAAGGAACAGTAAAATATTAATTTAAATATCACAAAGAAGTGATTATCAAAGACTTAGCATAACCTAAAAGTATTTATTCTGTATTATATTCAAATACTGTATATAATACTAGCTTCCAATGCATACCTTTCAGGAAAAAGTGTTATCGATATTAGCTAGGTAAATGATTTATCATTTGAATTCATAAAAATCTATTGTTCTCATAGCATTACTACTCCTGAAAAATTATAATTATAAATATTGTCATTCCTAAATGAATGTCAGATATTTTAGAACTCAAAGGTAACAATTACTTTATAAAAACAGTCATTACCTCAGCTAGACTTTGATTCAATTTTCATGACAAGAAACTAAACCCCTCATAGGTTTTATGTAATTTTTTTCTTCCTCATTTTTGATGTCTTTGTCTGTGTGATCAGACATTAATACTACTTTTCTGTAATCACTGTAGCAGATTTTAACTACCAGCCTGATTACAAAGAAAAGGCACTCAGATATAAGGAGATTCTTAAATGGGACATAATTCTTTCCATTCTGTTTTTTAAAAATACTAAGAAAAGTCTAAAGTTATACTACGAGAAAATAAGTAATGATCTGGTAGTGATTTCTTTTGGACAAAGATTGTTTTAAACAGAAAAATGAGCAGGTGAGCAGAAACAGCCATGAGTAAGCTGGAGTATGTGGCAGAGTGACTCATTAAGCTGTCTCTGCCACTAGTAAGTGTGTGTCCCTCAATTAACTAGCTACTAGGAACATTGGAGAACCCCCATTTTCCATCTATAGACCAAGGGGCTTGAAATACATAACTTCTAAATTCCTCTTCCAATAAAATAATGATACAATGTTAGTCCATGAGTCTGAACATCTGAGAATTAAGAATGAAATAATGGAAACAAAAATATCATACCTTTTTATTAACTTTCATCTTTGTTTTACGTTTGTTTTGTTCTCTGGCTTCACGAAGACCTTTCTGAGTAGGACCTTCTGGTGCATTTTCCTTTTCACAATTAGGAGCAACTATAAGATAATATAATTTATGCTTAACATTGATACTGTTTGTAAGAAATACTACAGCCAAAAGAAAAAAAAAGCCAAATTCATTATACACATATGTTTTGAGGTATTAAACTAATAATATCAAAACCATACCAAAATGTTGTAAATGAAGACTCAAATTCATTTCCCAAAAAAGGAGGGTGGCATTGCTGCAAGCTTAGTGAAATGGCAATGGTGAGTCAGATGGAGAACATACGAGACAATCTCTAGCTACATGACATCTAACTTCCTGTCGTCATGAGGTTTCATGTGTTTATAAACAAAGCTGACGGGGCTCAAAGGAGACAATGGTAAACAATGACAAAATTTCCCAAGTGGAACTGGATAATTAATAAGAGATTTTAAAATAAATATTGTATTAATAAAATATCCTCTATGCTTCTCAACGTTTAGGAAAACACAGCGTAACATTCCAATACAGTTGAACACTGATCTCTAAACTCTCTTGGATGTAAAGGGCAGCCCTAAAGGAAGCATCTGAAGGAAAAAGTGACAGGAAAATTCTGTTTCCATATATATATACATGGTTAAGTACACATAATTACCCCCTGTATTTCTAAACAGCAAGCTGATTTCAAAATAATGAATACGGTTATAATCATCAACACATAATTAAAAGAAAGAACTCAATGTTATAAATTATGACACTAATTTATAATAGAGAAAAGATGATAAAGACAAAAATATCTGGATAGCTTTAATGTCAAGGCTCTCAAAGAATCCTGATGTTATAAAGGTAAGTAAGGAAGTGCATGCTGGCATTCAGTGTCTTTTCTGATCTAATTTTTCTTATTCAGTCCAGTTTCAGGCAAAGGAGAAAACTGGTCTAAACAATGTACATGTATTATTTCATGAAATCTTATCAATAACCCTGTGAAGGTCACTACCATTTGTTCCCTTTTATACATGAGGAGAATTTGTATAGTAATATATATAAAGAAGAAAGGAGAAAGCAGTAAGGAGTGAAACTCAGGATTCTAGCAGGTAATTCTAGGAATATGAATAGATCTCAAGTAGTATGTAAAACATTATTAAGCACCACTTCATAAGAGAAATAAAACAAAAACAAGAAACAAACAAAACGGTAAGGATAAATGAAAGTAAAAAACAAAAAGGGCTTGGTTTATGAGTATATATATAGTTGTTCCACAAGCAAAATTTTAAAAATGTACACTTTAACAAGACTTTAGGAAAAAATTCAACATTTGAAACCAAAATAAGAATAAACATTGAAGAATGTATGCTGAATTGGCAGAGAAACACTTCTTATTTCTCAGTGTACCAATAATAAATGATTTCCACTCTCCATCAGATAAACAACTCTTATTTACATAAAGATTTGTAGAACAAATGAGAGGCTCAAATGTTAAGGTCTCTGTCACATTCACGGTTAAGTGACTATAATTTTCAAATTCCACATAGTGCTTCTTAATGTTTTGTAATATCCTAGCAACGTCCATGTCTCTATCACAGCATTCTCATCTTCATCATCTAATGCCTATTAATGACAAGGCCTATAGGACCAACTGGTGCTATGCTATTTCCCAAATTTTTCTTGAGCACGATTATCATCTTAAGGAAGGTACAATTCCTTAACAGAAATAAAACAAACATCAAATAAACAAACACATTTTCACTTACAGAAATTATAATTATTGTACTTTCAGTGCTAAATTTCACCCCTTTAACCATTTCTCCATGCATACACACATTCAACCAAAGTTAACTGAACATGTTCAGGACCCTGGCTAAATGTCAGAAATGTATGAATATATTCATTTAACAAATACTTAAGCTTCTACATTGTGCCAGTCCACACCTCCGTTATAGATTAAACATAGCTGAAGAGAGAATTATTTAACTGAAAAAATGTTTTGAAAAAATTATCCATACTTTACCTTACAGAGATAAATAGAAAATATCTAAGAGATCAGAAAGCTAAAACGAGATCAAGCGCACAACTAATTGGAATTCAGAAAAAGGTATAGAGATAAAGGGGAAGAGGCTATATTTGAAGAGATCATTTACCTTTCTAAACTAGACCATATACTCCATATAATCATAAGACATTGACATCTCGTAGTGCAATTCTGAGCAGCAATAAATACCCAACTTGAAAAGGAGCAGTTAATTAAACTAAACCTTAAGGAATACTTTGCTCTACTATATATGAAATCTATTTGTGAAGCTCTGAAGTCAGCTTTCAGTTTTTCACTTCATAAAATGTTTCCAATTTCTAGCTTTTCTTCCTGAATTCATAATTTCCTATCATAAGTTACAAGATAGCATAAAAACCAATTACATGTATCTTTATAACCTGCTTTGGAAATAGGCATTATTGTATTCAAATTGCACCCTCACATGAAATCAAAGTAATAGATGTAAATAACTAACACAAACATACAAATAAAACCAGCATATTCATAAACTTTTGAACTTAAGTAACTTGCACAAAAAGTTTCATCTCATAATATGTAATAGTAAAGTGCTTTCTGTGTAGTTCTTGTATTTGATACTTACTATTCTCATAACAAAGAAAAATGTAACACAAAACTATTACTTCAAATATCTAGTTGATAATAATTCAGTATTTCAAAGCTTCTCCTAGATTTTCTTTAATTCTACATACCACACAAGAGCAAATACAGAATTATAAACCCTTTTTAGGTAAGAAAGTTGAGTACTAAAATATTAATAATATTCTCTCTAGGTGGCAGCAATAGTGGATAATTATTTAAACTTATTTTATCATTTAAATTTTCTGTAATAAGCATGTCACTTTGATAGTCAAAAAATACAGTATGTTTAAAATTCTTTGATAGAGTCCAACTTTTATCTTATTCCTTAAATTCAGATTAAATAACAATTACTTTGTATTTTTCCTTAAGTTCAGAGTAAATGATAATCAATTCATTGTTTCCTAACTACAGAGTGAATTACATTTAATCTGAAGAATTTCTACTGCCATACCAACTTCTGCTCAAAATAAACAAAAAATGGATAGATGAATGAACAGACAGAAAAAAAATATTTTAAAAATTAAACTAAAATGTGAAAATGAAGAGGGAAGGAGTTAAACATATGAAAACAATTGTGAAGGACAGCAGGATTTATGAGGAATCACCAGTTAATCAATGAACCTCTTCTTTTCAAATAACAGTCCTTGCTTAAGTAAGGTTCCAAGTTGGTCAACCAAATTGAGTGATGACAGAGTCCAAGATCACACAGCCAAATATTGACACAAAAAGCTTAGGAAAAGGTACTGCAAGTCTCATATCTAAAACTAGAATGCATGTTTATAAGGAGCACAAAATTATTCAGTACAGAATTTAAGAAACTTTATTCAGGTAATAGAGATTATACAACTAAAAGAACCCTGTTTTCTTCAAGGGTTGGAATTTATTTCTTTTGATCAAAATCAATTAAAGATACCACGGATAAAAATATAATTACAAACTTGATCTTCAAAGTAACTTATAAATGTCAGTCTAGAAAAATATGTAGTATGTTCATTTATGAATTAGATTAAATACCAGGAGATAACTTCATAAAGGAGTTATCTAACCATCTGTTTATTTTAATAGAGATGCCAAGGATAAATAAAACCATAAACTCTTATAATAGAATGTAACATTAGAGATTAACTGATACAAGCATCTACCCAATGCAAAATTCCTCAATCTTTAAGCCTTCTTGTATATATTCTTTCTCATAAACTTTAGTCATTTTAAGAGTTAGAGTTCCTGAGATTATAGTAGTTTCACATTCTCCTTTCATATCTAATTATAATCTTCTTAAAAGTTATCTACACATTAAACAAATAATTTTTGATGTAAGAGAAATATAGACTGTTTGAAAACATGAGTAAGGAAAAAATATAGAAAATAATCAAATCACACAAAGAAAACTATATAAACATTTTGGTGCACATCCTCCAATCATTTTTCTTTGCATATATTTAACAGACTGCTCTTATACTATATAAACATTTTTATTCCTTGAAATTAATATTATAATATGAGCATTTTCTTATGCATAATTTTTAAAGACTTCCTAGTATTGTATGATTAACTATATTCAAACATTCACTTGTGGCTAAACATTAAGACTGCTATTTTGTTACTATAGATATGACTGCAATAAACATCCTTGCACATTGTTTCTAGGCAACACTGAGCATAACTGTTATTTCTTTCACATAAAATATTAGGAGAGGAACTACTAAATAAGGCTAGGAAAAAATTTCAGACATAAGGATGCTACATATTTCTTTGAAGCCTTAATTAATCAGAGAACACAATGAACAGTTATCTGGAAATAACAGGATGTTATGTTTATTAAGAAAACTCACCATTTTGCAGTATTTCTAGATCACTCTCTTTTAAATCAACATACTGATGTATAATTTACATACAATAAAATTCATACATTTTAAGTGTAGATTTGGATAAGTTTTGACAAAGTAGGCATACAAAACTAACCAGCAAAATCAAGATACATAAATTTGTACTATCTCCCAAATTACTGTTTTCTTATCCTTTACATACGTTATAAACATAACCTTACAATGCTGTAATTTTTTTTTATCAGTCACTTTCCTTTTAAGGAAATTAAGAAGAGGAAATCTTAATCATTGTATCAACTAGAATTTAACATTTCTAAATCTCTGTACAGCAGTCAAGTCAGCCGATCTGAGTTTCCTTCTGGCTTACTTTTCTTTAGGCCCAAAGGAAATACTTCAGTATTTCCTGTACTTCAGAATGACTCGAAACAAAATCTCTCAGCTTTCATTAATTTTGAAATATATATCACACTAACTTCTGAATGACATTTTTATTAAATATAGAATTCCAAATTAAAACTTTCCACATTTTAAAGATGTCATTTCATTGTTTATAACCTCCATTATTTCTGATGAGAAATCAGCCTTTATTTGTATGATTTTTCTCCTGTAGATAGCATGTCTTTTCTCTCTTGCTTTCAAGGTTATCTCACATAAATTTTGAATATGATGCAGCCAGGCACGATTTTATTTGTGTTTATAGTTAGCTGATTTTTTTGGATCTGAAAGTTGATGTTTTACGTATAGTTTGAAAAACTTTAGGTCATTTCTTTTAATATTTTTATGCCCCATTCTCATTCTTTTTTCCTTTGGGATTCCAAATATCTGTACGTTAAACAGGCAAATTTCCCTTCAATTTTTTTCTCCCTTCCTGAGAATAAATGATTTCTGCTGATGGTTCTTAAAATTCACTGACACTTCTGTCATCTCTAATCTACTATGAAGTATCAAATTTTAATTTTAGTTATTGTATTTTTCAGTACGAGATTTCTATTTCCTTTTTTTTGTTTTGACTTTCCATTTATCTGCCAAGATTCACAGTCTCTTCACTAGTCAATGTCATATTTTCTTTTAAGTTCTTGATCATATCGAAAATAGTTGCTTTAGCATTTTTATCTGTTAAATCCAACACCTGGGCCATCTCAGTGTAGGTTTCCATTTATTGCTTTTTGTCTTGATTGTGGATCACATTTTCCAGTTTCTATAACCAAACTAGAAATTATACACTGGGCAGTATGATGATAGATTATAAAGACTCTAGACAATTACCTTAATCCTAATGGTACTGATTTTTGTTCAGCAGGCAGTTTAATTTTTTGATAATCACCCTGAATTCCAGGCCTAATTTTATGCTTTGTTAGAGTGGATCCATGGAAAGCTTTAAGTATTTCTCAAGGTTCTCTAGTTTGGCAAAATTGAAAATCTAAACCCTGTTTCCTCCAAGAATTCTGCGTAACCTTTATATTTGGTTTTATAGGCTGGGTACAGGATGCTTAATGTTACCAGGGTATTAAAAAAGTCTCTCCATCCAGGCATGGACAGATGACAATGCATCCCATGACTGCTTGACGTCTAGAATCCCTGGTCCCCTCTTAATCCTATAGAGTCCTCTTTCTCTGGTAAGTCTAAGGTAGTCTTGCATGTGTAGCATAGCCATCCACTAAGGACTCATAGCAAACACCCTCACAAACCAGGCCAGTGCTCACTGTAGCACCTTCTTATCTGGTGCCCTTTCCTACAGATTCTGGTTGTTTCAACAACTTATAAAGTATAGTCTTTGTCTTTTCAGTTTATACAGGATGCCGTGCTCTTCTTGACCTCCATCTCCATGGAGTTTGGTTTGAAAATTTCCCCAGACAAAAAGCCATAGAGATACTTACAAATTTTCCTTCTGTCATTTGCCTTCTGTGATTTGCACAATTTTCCAACACCTAAAATTTATTGCCTCATATATAGTCCAGTTTTAAGTTATTTATGAAGAGAGAGCTAGTCTAGTACCAGATACTCTATCAGGGTCAAAGCAGAAGTCCTCTCATTATGGTTTATTCACATGTTTCTCTAAAATACAATATTATATCTATATTTCTTCTTCATATTTTCATTAATATTTCAATTTATAAAAGAATTACTATACCATTTATTAATTTAAATATCTCTAGAATTTTGAGTTCTGATAAGGCTGAGAAATAAACAACCAATAAAAAATTAGAATTTTATCACATTTTACTTTTACCTCTAATTTCAGGAGCATGGGAACTATGCCCTATTTCCATATGCTTCAATGTTTCTTGAAGTCCATAAATCTAAAAAATGAAATCCAAAGATATGGGGTTATATACTAAATGACTCAAAAAAGGGTTTAAAATTCAATGTTTAAATATTGATTACAAAATATAGAAAATATTAATCTCTCTTGGGTTAATTCCTATGTATTTTAAAATTTTTAAACATTAATTTCAACAAAAGAAAACATAATTTTAAATTTAAATTCAATTCCACAAGCAAGTATTAAGTATCTATTATGGGTAAGCATCAGAAATATTTATTTCAAAGCATAGTTTCCTGAACCTGAATGTTGCACACTTTTAATGATAATTATCTAGGTCTCTACTTTGAGAGTTTTCTCCTCTGTTGAAATTGCTTCACAACAACTTAATTCATCTTCATGTCCATAAAAGATGAGGTAAGTATTAGTTGGGAAGAAAAATATGAAGAGACTGTTATTATCCTAAACCTCTTAGCTCTTTTTCCACCCACAAACAGTCTTTGTTTTATTAAACATATTTTATAATTAAGAACATTTGTTTGGTGGCATACCATTTACCTCTATTTCCTGAATAATAAACTTAATTAAAAATTCAATCTTAAAAAGCTATCTCATCCCTCATACCATTATACTAACAAAAATATCATCTGTTTAATTATATATAGATACACACATTCTTCTGCTATCACTGAGTAGCAACATTTCTTTACTAATAGAAAATAGCACATAATAAATTGTAATCTATAGATTAGCACTCATGAAATGCCTAGGTTAGAAAAACAGTGAAAGATTTATATCTATTCTTAGACGCCAAGTGGATTATAAAAATTTTATATGAATTTCTTATTTAGAGTAGCATAAAATTTACATAAAAGTTGCAAATATGGAACAGAGAGTTCCTAGACGCCCTGCACCCCATTTCCCCTGTTAATGTCATGCATTACCATGGTACAACATTAGGTTCAATACCCAAACCAGTTTGGTTGGTGGTCCATCTGTAGGTGCCCACAATAGCTCCTTTGTCCCTTGACATACCCCATTAGTGTGTTGGGTATTTCTTCCTTCCTTCCTCTCTCCCTCCTCCTGCCCTCTTTCTTTCTTTCATTTTCCTTTCCTTCCTTCCTTCATCCCTTCCTTGCGTCCTTCTTTCCTTTCTTCTTTGCTTTTTCACTTTATGAACATTACCTAACTTTCTAACACAAGATGTCCCAAATGCTCATCCAGCTCATCTTGTATTTTCCTTGCCTAGACTACAATCAGTCACTTCTCCAAGGAACACTATTTCATTTTATTGGAGAATAGTATTAGAAATCGGTATCTGGGCACCGGGTATACGCACTGCCACTACAGTATTATTACATCTAGACCTTCTCAGCAGACAGAGCCTCTCAGCAGATTTTTAGAATATTTCTTGAATTGGTGGGATGGTATGGCTCAGTGGAAGACTCCTGTGCTTAGCATGTAAAAGGTCCCAGGTTCAATCCCTAGTACCTCCACTAAAAATAAATAAATAAACCTAATTACCTGCCCCTCAATAAATAAATAAATGAAATTTTAATAAATATATAAATATTCTTAAAAAATTAAACCCCATGATCCAAAAAAGATAAAATATAATTTATTATACATATATATATACTAACAAATAAATTATATTTTAGCTTTTTTCAAACATAGAGCTCTAATTCAGAATTCTTGATGTTTTTGGTAATTCTGTGAAACTGAAAATAATTAAATTATATATGTTTCTGTAAGATTTAAATAAATTTAAAAGTTACCACACTGTTTATTATATATCAAAAGAACCTGAAAACACATACTAGATTTTTGTCATCTCACAGTATACTTTAACTTCTGGATATACAAACTAAATAGCACTAAAAGATTCTAAAATCTAATCTTCCTCATGCAAAGTATTTGAGAGGTCTGTATGTTTAGAGAAACACAGTAAGTTCATTAAGATAAAGTTTTTAGGGAAATGACATAAGAGTCAGGACAATGAGGTCATAGATGTTAAGGGTCTCACACATGCTTGGCAGAGGCCATGGAATGAGCAAGGTGTACTAGTTTCACACTCAAAAAACCCACTCAGAACCACGTACCTCAAAATCAGGAATACAACCAAACCACTCACACTACTCTAGAAAATGAAGGCCAAGAGAACAGCATGTAGACTTTGGGGCCAGTGGATAAGTGGCCCTTGTACTAGGAACCACCTGGGAAGAATGAGAAGAGGATGCCATTTGAAGGGAGAAAATTAACACTGATAGTTATGTTTTAGCTAAATAATCAGTTAAAAAATATAACATTCAAATATCCTGTGTTAAACTCGAAGAGACTGTTTTACCCAGAAAGATCCGGATAGTCTGTAATAGCAAATTATGTTTTCTTTTGCCTTCAGCAGGAGTAGAGTTCAAAGACGAAATAAGTTGTAGATAATAAAGATATAGTTCTTTGCACATCTGAATGGCAGTGTGTAAAATTCAACCCTGCCTCAGAGAGTGATTTTAATTTTTAAACATGTTTTCATCTTAGATACATATCAATCATAAGGCAAGTAACCTTATCTGTTTAATAGGTAAGAAAACAGACATATATGAAAAATTAGGTGAATGTTCACATGGCTACTTTGCAGCACAGTTGGGACTGATCTCTACCACTCCTAATCCTTAGCTCTTTTAACTAAACTAGCGAAGAGCAATGTGAACCCAAAGACTGTATGTGGCCTAAATATGTTTTTAATATGGCCTTTCATCCAACATATTAGAGAAAGGGGAACTGATGGCCTTTACAGAAAGATAATATCCCGTATCACACAGATGATGAGTAGAAGATCTAATGACAGACAGGTTGAAGATATAGAAACTAACAATCTGGAGGGAAGTGTAGGCACTGGCCAGCATGGATGCCTGGAGGGCCCTGATATCCTTGAATAGTGAAACTTAGTCTGAGTGGTCTGTCAGAGATGCCAAAGTATACGTGGTCACTGGGGAATGTATGGCCAGCTCACTGAGGGATTCCTCCCAGGAGAAGGGTAATAGGGAGATAAGCATGAGAACAGGGGGATAAGGAGAGTAAGATGGGCAGCAAAAGTCTAAGCTGAGTTTGTGGCAGGAAAAGAAGTAGGAGCAACCTGACTCTAGCTCACAGGAATCCAAGCTGTAGGGTTGTGCCTCTTGTTGGGAGCTAAAGGGACAGGTTAGATGAAAAGGAGCAAGGAGATGAAATTCTGATGGTTTGATAATATAATGCCTTAAAAATATAAATTACTTTTAAACTCATTTTAAGTAATATTACTAATAAAACAATTCAGACATTTGAAGATACAAAATTAAATTTCAAGTGCAAAGAAGCAAGGAAACAAGCGATGTTTTCATTTTAGTAGCTAAAAATTACACTCAAGAAAAGGCAATATACATTTGATTAAAGTATGTCTTAATAAAATCATTCAAGCTCTTGCAACCATCATTCAAGCTTTTGGAAATTCTTAAAGTTAGCCAAAAATTAAAATCTCCAGAAAACAGTATGAGAATGTTAAACATGATAGCAATTTTGTATTTTCTAATAAACGATTGCATAGTTTTAATGTAGCCAATAAACATTTTATTTTTCTTGAATTCTGTACCAGAGGTTCCTCATCATAGCCCTAGGCCTACGCCTAGGCAAAAAGTCCTGCAGGAAGAACAGAAAGGGTGTTAACAGCAAACACGACTGAAAACTGAGTCAGTAACTTGGTGTGTCAAGAACTCATTTGGAGGTGAATTACAAGGACTATCTATCCATTATCTCATCTAAGTTTCACAACAATATTAAAAAGTAGGTCATTGTAGCTATACTTGATGTATGACAGTTCTGAGTTCAAAGTGTTTAGGTAAGGTCCAGGTTTATAGCTGTCAAAGCTGGCATTTAAACCCAAGTTTGTTTGACAATAATGGCTGGATTTTTTCTTCTAACTATATTTGAATGATCTCCTAAAAACTTATATTTTAATTAAGTAATTTCAATTCAGTAAGTCTTTGTAGGTTTAAAATGGAAAAAAAATAATTCCCTGAATGTTTCCAAATGAATCTTTACAACATGACAATTGGTGGAAGTCTTTCAAAATTTATTTCAGAAACAAAACCAATATTTCCATTAGTGTTATAAAAAAAAACCCAAATGATTAAAAATCATTTTCAGGTAGCTTTGATGGTCTCTTTACCTGTCCAACTGCTTTGTCTCTTTCCAAGGAGGTCAGCATTTTCTGCTTCAGTAAAGTATGGTGCTTCTCATGTAACACCCTTATAGTTGGTTCATAAGATGCATAATGTAACTTTAACCTATGAAAAATAAAGGGCATCTTAAAGGGTAATTGAATTAAATCAGTGATTTCCATCTAACATCTGAATCTTTTTTTTTCTCTTTTTGCATTGGAATAAAAAATGAATAACTATATAAAGGTCAACACAACAGAGCTAAGAAGTGTAGGAAGTATTATTTGGCATGCAACTTCCCTGCAACCAGGATGGAGCGAGGTAAAGTCACATTTCTCTTGAGTTAACTAATAATCTATTTCCTTCTGTGTATCTTAGTATGCAGTTAACTAATTCTCTATTTCCTTCTGCGTATTCGAGTATGCACTCAAAAGTTGCTATTCTTGAGAGAAAACAAAGTTACATTTTCTTTAACTCAGAAACAGTTTTCAAAAAGACAATGGCTACAAACAATGGGTGATTAAACAGAGTGTCATTCAAAACAAAATAAAGGACTGTCTTAAAAACAAGTATGATTAAGCTCCTATTAAGAAACTTAAGTATAAAAATATTTTGATATCTCATAGGAGAAATAATTTATCTCAACATATAACTTTAAATAATCTATTTTATTTGAAAGTGCCTTCAAAATAATTTTTTACTTTTTTGTCAAAGTGTAATTTATATGGAATAAAATACACAGGTCACAAGTATTATATATAGTTCAGAATTTTCAGCAATATGCATACCCAGTTAATCCATATTGTTATCAAAATACGGAGCATTTCTAACATTTCAGTGAAACTGGCTTCTTTCACTCAGGATAATATTTTTTAAATTCTTCCATGTTGTTGTATGTATCAATAATTCATTTCTTTTTATTGTGTGTAGTATTCCTTTGTGCATACATTCTACAATGTGTTTATCCAATATTCTGCTGATGAAGAACTGAGTTGTTTTCAGTTTGGTGCTACTATGAAAACCGTTTCTATGAAAATTCTTACACAAGTCATAAAAGATATTTGTGGTTATATATCTTTATTTCTCTTAGAAACAATAACTAGGAGTTTAGTTGCTGGGTTGTAATTTATACTTAAAACAGCAATATATGAGAGTCCTGGTTACTTTACCTCTTTGCCAACATTTGGTGATAAGCAGTATATCTAGGGTTTGACAATTATCAATTTTATCAGTTTATTATATTTTGAAAACAACCAATTTTGTTGATTTTTTTCTTATGTTTATACTTTTGCCAGTTTATTGGTTTCTAATCTTATTTTTATTTCTTTTTCTTTCTTTGTGCTTAATTTGTTCACTTTTGAGCTTCTAAGATACAAAAATACAAAATTAGATTACTGGTTTAAAATTTCCTTCTTTTCTAATAATAAGCTATCAATTTCACTTTAAGCACTGCTTTGGCTGAATCCTATGAATTTTAATATTGAATTTTCAATCATTCAGTTTAAAATATAATCTAATTTTGTTCCTTGATTCATGGATTATTTAGAAGTGTGTTATGTAATTTCCAGGTATTTGGGACTGTTCCAGAAAGCTTTTTGTCATTGATAATTTAATTTAATTTGGTTGTGGTCAGAGAACGTATTTTGTATGGATATCAATTCTTTGAAATTTATAGACTTGTTTTATGGCTCAGCATATGACCTATTTTGGTGAACATTCCATATGCATTTGAAAAGTCCAAAGCAGAATTCAGGAAACATCAATTATTCTCAATTAATTTATGTCTTGTTCTGTAGACTTTAGCATTTTTTGCCTATTTTTCAAGTAACTGCTAAAAGAGAAACGCTAAAATCTCCAGTTATAACCTGGAAATATCTATTTTTCCTTTCTACTTTATTAGGTTTTGCTTCATATATTTTCAAGTCTCTTATACCTTCTTGATGAATTGACTCGTATCCGTATGAAATGACCTCTTTTTCTCTGTTTCTCAGGATACCCTTGACGATGTTATTTCTGTAATCCTCCTCCTCAAGCCCTGTGGGCTTGCAGAAGTCACCCTGGTACCCTAAAAAAAGGTAACACTTCAGCTGCACTGCAAGCTGCTGCAGACACCTTTCAAAGCTTACTTTTAGGGCAAGTCTAAAACAGTTCCTTCTCTAGGACTAGAATAGCTCTGTTCCTCCGGCATGGTTTATCAAGGGTCTTAACTGAATGCTCAGAGTAGTAAGTGAAGTTTGCCATTTTGGCTGGTCAGAACTCCTCCATCTGCAATCAATGGAATCTCCATGTAGCTCACAGTTTCCCAGGAGCAGTTCTTTGCAGGCCGCATATTCTCTCATCACATATGTCCACAACTTAGTATATGGTCAAAGATTAAAAGGAATCACTACAGGTATTTCTTAAGTTTCTTTTCACACACCAACCTCCTTTTGTGTACACTGTCTGCCTAGTCAGCTCATCAAGACTACTGTCTAATTGGGTTCCACCTCGTCACACTATTATTTGAGGAGTTACTCCATG